GGCCTGCAGGAGGCAGCCGAATCAGTGATTCTCATCACTGATGTTTCTCCCTCTGTGAAATCAATAAAAACCTGTGGGTCCAGGTTTTGGGGGGTGGGGAAGTTTAAACAATATGGAGCCATTTTTAAGAAAAAAGAATGCCAAGAACCAAATTCCAATCTTTGTTACGATCGTCTGCAGCTCTGGCAACAGGGAAAGTAGGAAGATTCTATTTTTCTGGACCCCCGAACCCCTCAGGGGCAGACCCTGCCTCCAATACCCAGCTCAAACTGGGCTCCGTCCCACCCCACCCCCACCCGCGGGTCGTTGCTGGCGCCCCCCCCTCCCCCCCCCCTGCCCCAGCCTGACAGAACCTCTCTAAGCCCTTCCGGACACCCGAGGCACCCCTCCCAGCCCCTCCCAGCGGGGCCCTGTGATGGCGTGATTGCCAGTCAGGCACCCAAGGGAGATGCAGCTGTTTTCTCCTCTCCGAAATGAGGAAGCATTCCTGTTCCTGCCAGTGTGTGGGGGGGTGGGGGGGATGGGGGGTTGCCGTGGTTACAGACATGCACCTGCACAAGTTCCTTTTAGAGAAGGGACACAGGAAGGGTGCCTGCCTTGTCACTTGGTGAGTGACACCGCCTGGACTCATGCCATGGTGCCTTCTCTGCAGACGGTCCTGCTCTAGAAGGTTCTCGGGGGGCCAGTGCTAGGTCAAACATTGGTATTATTCTTTTCACGAGTGAATATCCCAAAGTGCAACCAAGGGGATCTCCTGTGGGTGTGGCTGGTGGCCACTTTGGGGAAGCAAAGTTCTCAAAACAACTTGTTGGGGAAGTTACACAACTTGAGAAATACCCTCACACTTTCCCCATTCTTGTCCCCTTTCCACCCTCCCCGGTGACCCCACTGCCCAGTGGCCCGAGGACAGCAGTGAAACATGTCCTTTTCTGCGACCAGCGGTGTTCCAGGTCGATGGACACAGGGCCAGGAGTCCCAGCCAGAGAAGACGGACGGCGGCTGGTAGGGGGGCTGGGGACACCTGGGTCCAGGTGGCTGCAGGGGGTCAGGGTGCTCCCTGTCGGGGAGTCCTCAGCATAGAGGAGGAATGATGGCTGGCACTCGGGGAGCCAGGCAGGTCACAGTGCCCAGCGTGCATTGCCGCTCACCGCCTGCAGGGACCCTGCAGCAGCGTGTTCCTGACCTGTCCCTGGCACTGTTGGCACAGGATTCCTGAATGCACTGGGTGTGACTTGCAATTCAGGAAGCCATGGGAGAGCCCACGGCAAGGGGGGGGGGGGAGCAGCTTCGCCAGAGGCTACAAGACGGGCGCTGTGGCCTGGCTCCCTCTCCTGTGCTGGCAGCCGCGGGGCGCGGTTCTGTCGTAGGTCTTTTACACCGAGTTTTGGTTCCCAAAACATGTTCTTTTCTAGCATAGTCATCATGGAATCCTCGTCGTGGTGTCACACGCATGGGGGCCTGTAGTCAGCCTGCC